CAGCAGTAGAAAAAATTAACATTTATGGGGAAGGTATGTTGGTAGGGAGACATTCAATATAAAGCTGGTTAGTGGGGCAAGGAGTTCTATACGAAATGAAAAGGGAAGGGTAGGGCATAAAGCCAGCTGAGATTATCTTACCTCAGTGTTCCCATGGGATAGCAATCCAGATAGAATCCTCATTCCCCTCTTGATATTGGGCGATCACTGAATTCACCGTGTCTTACTTATCTGTGTAAGATAAAATAGGTAGCAGTGGATGAGGGAGCAATGGTACTAATGGGATAGAAGAAAAAACAAAGATGGCAAACAAGACAAGAAAGAAGTTAGTGTATAAATCTAGTCCAAACTGAGCTTAACCAGAATTGAAATGCATAAAGAAGGAAAGATGAGCAGTCTAGAGAATGAATAAATACTGTGCAGTGAAGAACGGATACTTTTAAATCTTTGATGAAAGAGAAGGCAATTCAATAAATTTCATGTGACCCTCAGAAATAATGAAAAAAAGCAAGAAATTGCGATGGTTCAGAAGGGCATCCACGGTTAATATCTCCACTTCCTTTCCTTTCACTCTCAACTCTCTAATCTGGTTTCCAACCTCATCATTCAAAGGAAACTACTCTTGGAAGTTGTCGTGAACTTTTAATTGACAAACCTAATGGTCTTTTTGCAGTTCTCATCCTGCTTGGCCTTACTGCAGCCTCGGACAGTTGAAAAATCTTTTTTTGGCTTATTTATTTTTCTTTGATGTTGTTGATCACTCTCTTTGCCTTGATACTCTCTTCTCTGTAGGTTTTCCTGACACTGCTCTCTCCTGTTTTGCCTCTTAACTATGTGACTGCATCACCTGTCGTCTTTGCAGGATTTTCCTTCAAGTCTTGCCCATTAACTGTGGGTTTCTCTTAAGTTTCTGTCTTGGGCCTTCTTTTCTCCATTTATGCTATTTCACTTGATTTCATTGGCTTCCAGTCGTCTCTATGCAAATGATTCTCAGACTTATTTGTCCAGCCCTGATCTCTTTCTTGAACAACAGTCTCATCTCCAACTCTTATTAGACATCTCAAACTGGACTTTCAGTGGACATCTTAAACTTAATATATCCAAAATGGAACTCATTACCTTTCCCTCTAAAACCTTTTCGCTCCCTATTATGTCAAGGGTATCACCATCCTTCCAGTCACATACTCACATCCTTTAATTCTTCCCCCTAACCCTCTCATCCAATCAGCTGCCAACCCCTGTCATTTCTACCTTCAAAAATATTTCTTGTATACACCTTTTTCTGACACTGCTGCCACACTGGTACAGGTCTTTGTCACCTCACACTTGGACTGTTACGATAGCCTTGCTGCTTCATCTCCCTACCACAAGTCTTTTCCAATTCCAGTCCATTCTCTACTCAGCTGACAAATTGATCTTCCTAAAGTGCAGGTCAGACCGTGTCACAATCCTTCCTCCCCGTCCCTCTCTTTCATCTCCCTATTCATTAAATGCCACTAGATGTCCTTTACCTTTAGGATGAAATATAAGCCCATCTGTTTAGTTTTTAAAGTTCTTTACAACCTTGCACCTTTCCTATCTTTCTAGTCATCTTATACTTTAATCCCTCCCATGTACTCTGCTGTCTGGTTGTCCAGTGATACTGGTCTGCTTACTGTTCGTTGAGCATGACATTCCTCCCATGCCTGGGACTCTCTCTCTCTCTCTCTCTCTCTCTCTCTCCCTCTCCCTCTCCCTCTCTCTCCCTCTCTGTCTGTCTGTCTGTCTGTCTCTTATTTGTACATAGTTGTTTGTATGCTGTTTTCATCATTAGACTGAGCTCCTTGAGAAGCGAGTTCTATTTTTTGGCTTCATTTCCAGTGAGCTTAGCAGAGTGCCTGGAACATAGTAGGTCTTTCATAAATGCTTGCTGACTTGACTTTAGAAACTAGAAAAATAAAAGATAAATAAGGTAGAAATCAAAGGTCTCAAAGAAACAACAAAAGATACAAATGAGAGTGGATAATTTAGAACATGATGTAAATATCTTCTAAACAATAGAGCCTCAGGAAAATAGAATAGCAGATTTGAAACTCAAAAATATAGAAGTAAAATGAAATTTGACAAAAAAGGAATTGAAAGACAAACAGAAGAACACGAGTTTGGTAAGAGCCAAAGAGACTGAACCTGAAGATGGGATGTACAGACTTCTCCTCCCAAGAAAACCCCAATGAATCTGAAAACTTGAATATCACACTTCAGTAAATGTTAAAAGGAAATTGTCCTTAAGTATTGGAAATATAGGGCACAGTACATAGATTGTAGAGAGAGAGAACCTAAGTTCATCTGGCCAAGAATTATAGTGCTCACACTGCTAAACTTCCATGTCAGACAGTAGGTATTTCAGGCCCCACAGAGAAAAAATTCATCTATGAAGGAAAAAAAAATTGAATTCCTCAAGGTTATTTCTTGTCTATAGGAGATGAAAGAAGATGTTGAAATATGGTAGTGTAGAAAGTAAAGGGGGATTGGCATGTAGCCTAGAATAACATAGCTTGCAAAGTCAAGTCTAATCATTAATATAAAAAGATGAGTTTTTATCAGAAGGGAAGGAATTTGAGTTATTACTTTAAAAAGAAACCAGAACTGAGCAGGGTGATTGATATACAAACATTTCTAAGTAAAGAAACAAGAAATGTAAGTAAACATTTTAACAAGAAAATAGTAAGCAATGAAACCAATTATCTTAAGCTTCTAGAGCAAGACAAAGCTATGTTTTTAAGTCCTCACATGTGTTGAGGGCCTATAAGAAAATAGAGAAAATTTGGGCCACCCATGAGCAATAAATGACTCTCCTAATTATTTAAGTCTTTCTTTACATAGGGTGCTTTTTAATTGTGTTTAAAGAAGTCCCTCACATGTGTTGGTAAACTAATTCTCAAAGACTTTCTGCATTTTATTATTCTTGTGAGTGAAATTTCTTTGTCAACTGTTTTCTAATTGTGTTTTTCAATACTGAATATTGCTGATGATTTTAAGAGTATTTTGTATTATGCTACTTCCCTGAAGTTATTAATCTTTTCAGTAAACTTATTTGCTGATTCAAGTATCCTAAATAAATTATTATTTTATAGTCAAATAGGGATAGTTCCATCTCATTTTTATCAGTGTCTGTACTGTTTGTTTTTCTTTAGTTTTATTATTATAGCTAGAATTTCTAGTACTGTGTCAAATAATAATGCAAAGAGGATGTCTTTGCTTTCTTCCTATACTTACTGTGAAGTTTCCATTATTTCTTCATTTCAGATTATGCTAGCTCTTTTCTGATCCAGTTTTTATGGAAATACTGCAGGGAAAGACAGAGATTTTTGTCTTTCCTCCACCTGAGTACATGGGATGTAGAGAGTTCAGAAGACATGGAGAGTCCTTTATGCTGATACTCTGTTGCGGTTGTAGGTTAGGTCCTTTATAGCTTACCTAAACTATAAACGGCAAAATGGAGATTGCTTATCATTGTAAATGAACAGAAGGCATAGAAAATCTCAGATCAGTTGAGATTCCTCACATTAATACTTCAGTCAAACTATTGGTCCCTCCATCTTAGGAATAAAGCAAAATTCTATGGGCATGTAGGTAGGGTTTCCTACTTCATTTTGAGGTTCTGGCATCCATGCTGAGTCATTTGGCAACTTTAGGGACAGTATCCCCTTTTGCGCCTCCTCCAGTTCTTTAGGGGGATTCAGGAAGGAAACAAGCCCAAACATTGCTTTTATCCTATGTTTTATGTCTTCTTTTTTGGATACTTAAAAATATTTAAAATATATTTTATTAATAAAATATTAAATAATAAAATATTAAAAATACTTAAAAATATCCACAGAGTATTGTTTGAGATTATGGTTCCCAGGTGTAGAAATTGGGATTCTTCCTACTTGTCAAAAGATTCTGCTATATTTACCTACAAGTGGGTAGTTTTTAAAGGGATCTGGTGGCAATATAATAGTTTAGCTGCTGGTCACTTCTGTGAAAGAAAAGTCTATAGATGCTTGTTAAGTAACAGCAGTTGGCTATTTATATAGTGTTTTTGGTTTGCAAAGCTCTTCAAATGTTATCTCCTTTACCAGAGGGAATATCAATTTAAGCTAATGTTACTAGTTCTCCTTTACAGCCAGTTACTGGTTCCCATTAGTCTTTTGGAGCCCATGATGTTCTTGTTTTTTTTAATCCTTGAATTTGCAGTCTCCATATAACCTATCATCTGGGTTCTTTGGGAAGTTCGAAGTGCTGGAAACAAGCAATCATTCCGTCAAAAAGTGTTCAGTCCCTACTGTGTGCCAGGCATTGTTAAGCATTGGAGATTCAAGTACAAATAATGAAACAACCCCTGTTCACAAAGAGCTTATGTTCTATGACGGAAGAGACAACAAAATACATCAGTAGATTTAGTACAGATATAAAATGAACAAATACAAATATATCTAGACTAGTTAATTAGTTTTGGAGGGAGACTACAGTTAGAAGTGAGGGTACTGAGAAAAGCTTCATGCCTAAGAATGTGATTTAGCTGCATCTTAAAAGAGGAAGGAGACAAGAAGAGGCATAAAACTGGGAGAAGGGAGTGTCCTGTGTAAGGAACAGAAAGACAGTCAGTGTGGCTAGATCTAGAGTGTAGGAAAAGAATCACGTCTAGTGAGGCTAGAAAGATAGGTTGGGGTCGAGTTGTGTAGGGCTTTGTAAAAGCTATACAGAAGAGTTTAGATTCTATCCCAGTGGCAATAGGAAGGTGCTGGAGTGATTGAGTAGGGGAATCACATGATCAGATTTGGCAGTAGTGTATAGGATGGACTGAAATGGTGAGAAACTTGAAGCAGGAAGACCGATTAGGAGGCTCTTGAAATAACCAGAGACAATTAGGGCCTGAACTAAGGTGGTAGCTGTGTGAGTGGACAGACGTATTATTTTTATATACTGTAATAATTTATAACTGAGTTATTTTTCTTTATCTTTTATATAATGTTTAGGCTGTGGATTAAACTACCATAAACGATGTGCCTTCAAGATTCCAAATAATTGTAGTGGAGTAAGAAAGAGACGTTTGTCCAATGTATCTCTGCCAGGACCTGGCCTCTCTGTTCCAAGACCCATTCAAACAGAATGTGCAGTGTCTCCCAATGAAGAGGTGGGTGTTATATCTTGGAGTTTCAATATGATATGTCTGTCTCTCTCTCTCACACACATACCTATGTGTCTATAATGACATTAAGGATAGATTCAGAAGGAGTGAGGTTTTAGGAGAGATGGAAAGTTAGCAGTTTGTGATAGGACTGAGGAGTTTCAGAGGTTTGAATCCCAAGGTCCTAGATTTAGAGAGAGAAGACCATCTGGTCCAGTGCCCTCCTTTTAAAATTGTAGGATCACACAGAACTTGAGAATTTGTGTGGGACCACAGTGTCCAACTAATCCAGCGCATCAAACAAAGAAATTCTCATTATAATACACCCAACAGGTAGCCATCCAACCTCTGCTTGAACACTTCCAAGGAGAAGAAACCCACCACTTTCCATTTTCGATTTATTTATTTATTTATTTATCTATCTACCCATTTATTTATTTATTTATTCATTCATTCATTCATTCATTCATTCATTCATTCATTCATTCATTTATTTATTTATTTATTTATTTATTTATTTTTTGGTTGAGTGATGGGGGTTAAGTGACTTGCCCAGGATCACACAGTTAGTAAATGTTATGTGTCTGAGGTCAGATTTGAACTCAGGTCCTCCTGAATCCAAGGCTGATGCTCTATCCCACTTTTCATTTCTGAACAGCGCTCATTATTAGGAAGCTTTTCCTGACTCCCCCCCCCAAGCCCTGGCCTCTTTGCAGCTCCCCATTGCTCCTGATTGTGCCATCTGGGACAAATGGAACAAATCTAATCCCTCTTCCACATGAAAGCCCTCTCTCTCTCTCCTTCACTGAATCTTCTCTTTTGCAGACTTAATTCTCATTTCCTCCCATTGATCCTCACTACACTATCCTGGTGGCCCTCCTCTGAACATTCTCCACCTTATCGATGCGTTCCTTGGTGTGCTCAGAACTGAGCAGAGTATTCCAGATAAGGACTGACAAGGATGGAGTACAGTGAGACTATCACCTTCCCATTCCTGGAGTCTCTTTCTGTCTTTATGTAGCCCAAGATCATATTAGCTTTTTTGGGCTACTACTTCACACCACTGACTCATGCTGAGCTTGCAGTCCATCAAAACCCTCCCATATATATTTTTTTAGAACAGCCGATGTTAACTGCATCCTCTCTATCTTATTCTTGTGAGGTTAAGATTTTTTTATGTCTAGGGCAGGACTTTACATTTATTCGTGTTGAATGTCACTAGATTCAGCCCAGTGCTCTGTACTGTCAAGATCCTTTTCCCTCAAAGTGTCTGCTGTCCTTCCCAGCTTTATGTCATCTGCGTATTTGGTGAGCATGCTCTCTATACCTTTATCCAAGTCATTGATGAAAAAAAATGTTAAACAGCACAAGGTCAAATATAGATCCTTGGGATATTCCACTGGAGACCTCCTGCTGTGATGATAGTGAACCATTATTTACTTCATTAGTCTAGCCATTTAACCAATTTTTAATCCATGTTATTGTACTATCATTTAATATAAAGGTTCTTAAAGTCTTTTTGTATGATTAATCCCTTTGGCAGTCTGGTGAAGCCTAAGGATTCCTTTTCATGATATTCTTAAATGTATAAAGTAAAATACATAGGATTACAAAAGAAACAATTGTATTGAAATAGTTAACAAAATATTTTCCAAATAAAGATGTTGGCAGGCCTTAGGTTAAAAACCTCAGATCTAATATTGCAGCCTGGCTTCTGACTTAACCACTTAATTGAAACTGCTGTAACCAAGTCAGAAACAGAACTCAGCATCCTTCTTCCCCAAATCTACACCTCTTCTGAACTTCTTTTTGCCTTTTGAGGATAGATGACTTAAAGAGACAGAGTGGCATTGCTAATCCAATTTGTCCTGTCTGGAACATTATCTTCTACTTTAAACACTCTCCTCCAAACTTACTTTTTTCTGTTAGGCACCACCATCCTTTTGCTAATTCAGGTTCATAACTTGAGTATCAAACACAACTCTTCATTCTCCTTCATTCCACCATATCAGTCAATTGCAAAGTCTTATTAACTCTATCTCAGCAACATGTCTTGTATTTCTCTCTTCTCTCTACTCATACAACCAACACCCTAGTTTAGTCCTTGCCTGTACTATTGTAACAGCCTTCTAATTGGACTCTCATCTTCCATTCTCCCTTTCTCTGGTGTAACCTCCACAGGCTGCTGGACTAATCTTTCTAAAGCAGAAACGTGACTAGGCCACTATCCAGCTCAAAATCTTTTCATGACTTCCTGTTGCTTCTGGGATCAAATGGAAGCATGGCAGTCATTGAAAACCTTTCCCAGCCGAGTGTCAGCTGACATTTCCATGCTGATTGCACGTCCTGTCTTTCTACAAATCTCTTTGCCAGTCAAACTGGCCTCCTTATTCTTCAATCTCAGCATGGTATTTCTTGCCTCTACACTTTTGCCTGGACCATCTGCCATACCTGGAATCCACTCCTTCCTGTTCCCTGCCTCAAGGCCCAGTTCATGACCTATACCCTCTGAGCAGCCTTTCATGATCTCCCTAGGTGCTCATCCTTGTCAAATAATCACATGTCCTTACGTGTTAAAATGTTGCATCATCCAATAGAATGTAAACTCCTTGAATTCAAGGACTGTTTTTGTCTATGTATTCCCATACCTATTGCAGTATCTTGTAGGTAGTGCACAGATTTGAACTCAGGTCCTCCTGACGCAAGGGCCGGTACTCTATCCACTGCGCCACCTAGCTGCCCCTGTAGTCCACATTTAATAAATACTTGTTGAATTAGATTGGAAAAACTTCTTAACAATTAGAACTCTCACAAACCTGTCATGTGGTGGCTTATTGTCCCTTAATGTGCCTTCATTGGGGACTATATGACCTCTTTTGTTCATTTTGTGAAAGAGATTTTTTTATAATAATAATAGTAGCTATTATTATAAGCTAATACTTACTAGGTATTTTAAAATTATCAAAGTCCTCATTTCAGCCTCTCAACAATCCTGAAAGGATTACAACAGATAATTATTCTATAGGTATTATTCCCACTTGACAGATGAGGAAAAAGAGACTCAGAAATTAAATGGTTTTCTCATGGTCACACTAGTGGAAAATGTTAAAAGCCTAGGTTGAAACCCAGATCTTCCTGACCCCAAGTTCTTCATTCTTTCTTGCCTCTGTGTAAGTGCTGCTCGGGATCTTTAATGTCTTTCTGAACTCTGAGATTCTGAGGGTCTGTGAATAAGTGTTCATTGAAGGTGAATGTGAATTGGAGGACTGGAATTAGTGGAAAAGCAAGTGGGGCTTGGTACTGGGAGTAAAGGAGGCACCGAATGGACATTTTTTAAGGTCTCTTCCTACCCCAAACAGTTGATTATTCTGTCTGTGTCAAGGGTTTGGGGAGCAGTCCACGACTTTGGATAAGGGAAAAAAAATACGTCTTTATTTTCACTAACCTCTAATTGAAATGTAGCATTTCCTTCAATTATTTAAAAACATTATTCCGCCAAAGGGGTCCATAGACTTCACCAGACTGTCACAGGGGTCCATGACACCAGAAAGGTTAAAAACCACTGAGTAGGTTTACTTTTTTGAATGCATTTAGGAAAAAAACACAAGGAGCCAAATCAGGAGAGGATCAGGTTGGATTGTTTTAGGTATTACACTTATATATATGTTTCCCTAACTGAATGTATTTTACCTGCATCCTGAAGTCAGAGTATTTCTGAGTTAGAGATTGTGTATACTTTTATATTTTATGTGCTTCTCTCTTTTTCTTGTAGATAATTGAAAGTTGATTATATGTTTATAAATGTTTGATGAATAGCTAACCTATAATGTAGACTTAAACTGAGTCAGGATATGATTCATAATATATGAGTATTTGGTTTTGGAAGGGAGTTCTGATAATTTCAATTAAAGAGTCTGATACTTAAAAATAAAATACAACTTTCCTAAGATGATTTGATTTGAAAACCACTTAAAATAGTCATTGAAATAAATTACAAGTTTCATGAGTAAACATGTTGTTTTATTCTTTAAAGAGTATCTTTTATTTTAAATAATTTAGAGTTGGAGTAAATTTAGGTATCTATTTTCAGCCTTGTTTCCTGCTTTGTGGTCACTTGATGTAAACCTGAAAAAAAGGTAGTACTAAGAGATGTGGGGTCATACAGAATAAAAGCTAGCGAGGCAGACACTGGGCTGATCAGGCTGCAGGACATACATGAGCAAAGCCCTTTTGGCAAAAGATTTGTCTTCCAGTGCTTTCAGCCTTGCTCTCTGATGCAGCACGTTGAGTTGTTTGGGACACATTCTGGGAAGGGAAGCGTGAACCCAAAACCAGAGGACTTGTACCTTGAGCAGAGGAAGGTGGAATTTTTTTGTTAAATTCAGTTGTTCTTCTGAGGCTTTTTCTAGTCACACTTCTACATAGAGTTTGCATTCTGTTCTAACACGAGCTGTAGCTTCATCCATTAATTAGCATTTATTAAGTGCTGATGTCTTGTAAGCCCTCTCTTTTCACGTATTCTTTGTGCCCTGACAGTTATCTGGTCCCTCCTCTTTATTTCTTTTTCCGTCTCCTACTTCTTACTCTCCACTCTCCCACGTCCTTGGTCATCCTTCTCTCATTCCTTTCCTTGTCGTCACTTTTTCTTCTCATAAACTCACTTTTTTTCTCATCTTTTACTCAGACTATTGGAGCATGGTAGTATCAAAATGGTGGAGACTCTCTTAGCTGCCAGAACATTTCTTTGCATGCATTATGGAAGAGGAAGTTGAAATTGCAAGGGTTCTGACAGTGATGAACATCTGGAGCACTCCTTAGTAGTTAGAAGTCTATAGGGAGGTACACTGAACCAGGCTTAGGCTTGATCCAGGCTGATCATTCACTGATAAAACCAGCTAGGAAAAAACCTGTTACTTCAAGGCAGCAAAGGAGTTTTTTAACTAAAGCTTCCTGTATTTTCCCCTGAAAGTTAAACTCATTCAAACTCAAATGTCTGATCAGAATAGGACATGAGTGGGTCATATGGTAAGAATTAGGGATGCTAAGTAGACAGCTCACATATACTACACTAAATCCAAAAAATATAAAAAGACCCAGAGGAAGGTCTTCAGGCCATTGGTTGGTTCTTCTCTGGAGGGTCTGTGGGAGAACATAAACAAAAATCATGGGGGATTAGAAGGAATAGATGGTTTGCAATTCTTTTTGATAGAAAGAATACCCATGTCAGTGAGATAAAAAATCCTATGAAGTATTGATATTCAAACTGATAGTTACCCCCCACCCCCAACAAAACCAGAAAAAAAAAGCCCAACCCTCAGTCAAGATGTTGACTTTAACCAAATTGCTTTGAGGATAGGCTCTATGTCTGCAAATTTGTAATTTAGTGCCTAATGCTCAGCACTGTTCCTGGCACAAAATAGGTGCTTAAAAATATTAATTGATTATAGTGTCTGCCTTAATATTAATAAACTGCATGTATTTGTTCTTTTAAATGAATTTAAGACTTAAAAAACTTTTTATATGATTAATTTCAGTATCAATATTTAATTTTGGGAATTTTTTTAGTTTCAGACTGTAGTGTCCATGTTGAGATGGAAGTTATGTCAGACTGTATTTTTTACGTTGATCTGAAAATTCCAAATCCTGTACTTCTCTTTTTTTTTTAAGAGTTTTGCAGAACCAAAGGAAGATGCTGAAACCTGTCTTGTCTCTGTGGTACTGGGCAGATGTCTCTCTTGAAGCCAGTACTTGGTTTTTAAATAATTGATATTATACTTATAGAAATATCTTATATTTTAGGCACATGTTCACCAAGAACCAAGTAAGAGAATTCCCTCCTGGAGTGGACGCCCAATCTGGATGGAGAAGATGGTCATGTGTAGGGTGAGAGTTCCGCATACATTTGCTGTGCATTCTTACACTCGCCCCACAATATGCCAGTACTGCAAGCGGCTACTCAAAGGCCTTTTTCGCCAGGGAATGCAGTGTAAAGGTAGGGATTCCTTTTTCTTTTTAGAAAAATTCTCTACTGTTGCTTGCCAAATGCAAGTTTGATATTTTCGTAGTAAAGAAGTCACCTAAAATGACATTGTTTGTTAATAGAATCTCAGTTGTCTTTGTCTTTGTGTGTCTTGTTAAATGCCAAAATCAGTATATTTAAAACAGAAGTGACTTTCTTCTTATATCAGTATACATTTGTATACCCTAGAGCTCTTACTCCTGAAAGTTGTTTTCCTTTGTACCTCTAGAGCATCTTTTGTAACATAATGTAATTGCTTTGTCACAGTTAGATGGGTAGTTAGTTGGCTTTTAGTATTAAAAGCCACAGTAATAGTACTTGCTGCCCATTGTTACCAGTAATTCATTTAGAATAAAATTTTCAGTAAGGGTGACCTGTCTACTGTCGTGGGATACCTTCCCCAGGGCCAGGACAGGAGTTGGGGGGTGGGGAGTGCCTGTATTAAGGAATGATGACCCAAAGGTCACTAAATGTCCCTGAAAAGCTAGGTACCATACTGGGATACTTGAATAATAAAGTTATCCCTTACATTGCATATCATTTTAAAGTTCTTGAAGCTACATTTAAGTCTCCTTTGGATTGGAATGATTACCTCAGGTTGATAAATGAGAAACAGATTGCGTAACTTGCCTAAGCTTGAGTAGGTAGTTAATATGAGAAATAGAACGGTAGGGCTTTTAATTACCATCTTTTTTCTCTTTCCTTGGAATAAATTATCTAAATGAAACCTATGACCTGAAATTTGACACATAGCGTAAAACCTTGATTGTACATCAGAACAGACTAAATTATAATTCATATTTTTCCAAGTAGGTAATGAATGAAAGCTTCTTTGACAGTATTAACTTGACAGCTGAGACAGTGTTATTATTAGTTGCTATGAATCATCCAACAAGGTATGATAAAGTTGAAATTGAACTTTTAACAGCTAGACTTTGAATGTGAGTTCGTACGTTGATCAATGCTATAATATGTCCAGAGTGATAACTACTAATTTTGGCCTAGAGCAAGTGTGTGCTTTGGAGTAGCAAAATAGAAGGTGCTCTCAAACCAGTTTTTAAGATAAGAGTGGAGAAAGAAACCTTGGGGGGAGACTTGAGGCTTTGAGACACAAGACAAGGGATCCTAGTGTCATAAACTCATAACTTGAGAGAGTGCAGATTGAAGGGGAGGGGCAGTGAAGGAGCAGATACGTCTCATATGACTAGAAAGTGACTGTTGAGATCAAAGTAATCTTGAAGAAAATGACTTTTGTCTTCATTAATTCAGAATACATAGAAGAGATGGAGGTCCTTTATTGGAATTTTTTTTTAAGAAGTTAAGACATTACAGAATGATTTGTTGCCTTTTGAGAAGATGTACAGCAGAGCCAACAGTGATGCTGTAGACATTCTTGAATCACAAGTTCAGCCTGAAATAGCAACCAAAGTCAGGATCCAGAGTCAATTTGCAGGACTGTTATTAGAAATGCATTTGTGTTTTTGACTGTTAGGCCCATGGAGTTGTAGGCTTACAGGATTGAAGAGGTCAATGAATGGCACTCCTGTCAGCACCATAGTCCTGTGCCTGCACCTGGGAGAAACCAGCCAAGCAGAGCTCAGCACTCTTCTTGGTCAGGAGCGAAACTCTCCAGTACCACAGGGACTCAACTGAAGTGTAACTGAGAAATATTTAACAAAATAAATTTAAAAAAAGATTTTTTTTAAAGAGCTTATGAGCACCGTATAAAAATAGAGAAATTCTTGAAATATTCCTGACATAGCTATTCGTGTGATTTGTTGGTAGGTGTTTTCATATAAATTATTAAACTGAATTATTTTTATTTTAGATTGCAGATTTAATTGTCATAAGCGCTGTGCATCAAAAGTACCTAGAGACTGTCTCGGGGAGGTGACTTTCAATGGAGGTAAAAACATTTTTCTTAACAGTGTCTTTTGGAATGAGAAAAAGACCTATTTTGCTGTATTCTTGTCAACTGTCTTTAAGGTAAATCGATTATTTACCTTTCCCCTTTTTGTTCCTTGCCTCCGTAGGCTGCAGTTTTGTAGTCAAGAGAGCTGATGAAGAATTAATGTCAGTTTAAAATTTTATTGCTGTGCTCTAGGCCCTGAGTTTAGGGCTTTCACCTTGGCCCTGCTCTCTTTGATACTCTCATCAGAATGATGGGCAGATCTAAGAAAATTAAATTTAATAGGTATAAATATAAAACCTGAACTTAGGTTAAAAAAAAATCAACAGTACAAGCATAGAAAGGGGGAGAAAACAGTTCATGTGAAGAAAATCATGCTGAGATTTGGTTGAAGGCCCTAAGGAAATTTAGGTGGGGAAACTAAGGCAGATATGATAGCCATCTAATATGAGAAAAGATCTTTATGGAAGAAATGATTAAACTTCTGCCCGATTCCAGAATACAGACTGAGGATAAATGGATAGAAGGTATAGGGAGATAGCCCCAAATGAAATACATGCTATTGTTGTAAATGGTTTTTTTGTCACTATCAAAGCACAGATTAGATGTTAGAGTTTGGGTTTGTTGTAGAGGGGATTTCATGCTTTGTAAAGAACAGGGTTGAAATAGATAATCTTAAGTTCCTTTTTATCATTCAGAGAGGTGGGGAAGAAGGGAAGGAAATAAGAATTTGTTAAAAGCACCTAATATGTACCAGCTACTGTGCTAAGCACCTTAAAATTATTATCTCATTTGATCCACCTGACTACCCTGGAAAGTAGATTCTATTATTGTCACCGTTTTACAGATGAGGACACTGAGGCAGGCAGAGGTTACGTGACTTGCCTAGAGTCACACAGCTAATAAGTATCTGAGGCAGGATTTAAACTTGGGTCTTCCTGACTGCAAGTGTGATGATTAAAAAGGTTCAAAAGATATAGTTTCTGGGTAATTTAACAATTTTATTAATAAGGCCAGTATGTTACTAATAAAAGAATGGTCATTTGGCCATCTCTCTTAGACCAAAGACAATCATGGTGGTAGGCTCACAGTTCATATACCCTTCAAAGAGTAGGTGTTCCTAGGAGTGGCAATCAACTCTTGATTGGATAACACAATGGCAGGTGGGCTGTATTAAAATGAGGGGCTGAGAGTGATGTCATGTCATTTTTGGACAGACTGTCTCTATGCCCAGACCTCCCCTAGCCTTGGGCAATCTTTTGAAAGAATGTATGCCTCCCCCCAGCCTGAGCAGAACACCATGGCTACTCTACCAACATGGAGTCTTGAACAAGAAAGTCCAATCTCATTATCAGCAATGTCCTTCAAGAGACTGAACTTTTAAAATCAAGACTTTAGAAAAAGGGGGAAACTCTGAATCTACCCAAATTACTGGTAATTAATAATCATTTCTTTCTAGGTCTGTCACTGCACACTGAGCCATCTGGCTGCCTCTAGATTGAATGGGTTGTTTTCTTTATTATCATCAATTAAGAAAAAATATCCATATGTGATATTATATGCTACCATCAGCAAGTATGTAGACCCATCTTGGGTTTTCTATAGGGCACCTACTTTCAGGAAAATAATGGAAACTATAATAGCTTACAAATTTATTTTTGTTATTCAGTCGTTTCAGTTATGTCTGATTCTTCATGACCCTATTTGAGGTTTTCTTGGCAAAGATAGTGGAGTGGTTTGCCATTTCTTTCTCCAGCTCATTTTACAGTTGAGGAAACAGGGTTAAATGATCTGCCCAGGGTCCATAGCTAGTGTCTGAGGCTAGCTTTGGACTCATGAAGATGAGTCTTCCTGATTCCAAGCACAGTGCTCTATCCAATGTATCACCTATCTTATATATTATGGTATAATAAATATTCCTAAACTTTAGAGGCTGAAGTAACTTTCCCTAAAATAGTTGTGTAACCTGATATGAGTTTTGATTATTAGTAGCACTTTATATCGGGAGGAATTGGAACAGGGAAGCATAAGGAATGGAAGCCAAGTACCATAGAATTAATTAACATTTTTCCTCAGGATACACATGTCTGTGTTTTTCATTGCATATTATTAGAGTAACTTTAATCAGATGGTGAGTTTTTAAAAAATACAGGAAGAAGCTGATTATTTATGTTGGATTTGCTTACATATATAATTCAATGCAAAGGAAAATGAGTTATTTCTTACAATTTTGAATTCTTATGTTATTAATAATAGTCTTTTGCTGATTAGCATGAATGAGATTTTAGGATAGATTAGAATGAGTAGAGGACAAATTGAGGAAAAATGGAGACTTTCAGCAGCTGTTGTGGCAGGAAGCTCAATAATAAATGTAAAAGGAAAACGCAACTATAATAAAATCTCTTAGAATTAGATTCCATCAATTTAAAATTTATGGTAGTCTGACCCAAAGTGGGCTGAAATTTACCTTTTTATGAAGCATATTATGGGTAACATTGCTTTTACAATTTAAAAAGTAAAGATAGTAACATATTATTGGTTACAGTCAGATAAGTACTTCTCTTGATGACAAGTTTTATCCTTGAAAAGAGGGCCTGATAAGCCATTAATGCCCAGCTTCTACAGGAAGCTGTTATCCTGGTATCCCATTCTCTCTCACACCTATGCCTTCTTTCTGATATTACTTTTCATCAACTCTGTATATATCTTATATGTTCATAGTTGTTTGCATGTTGTCTCCTCCATTAGCATGTGAACTTCTTTGAAGGCAGGGAGGGGCCATATTTTTGCTTCTTTTTTGTATCACTGGTATTTAGCACAGAGCTTGGTACATAGTAAGCTCTTAATAAATGCTTGTTGAATGAATGACACAGTTGATAGGCAGGTTTTTTTCCTAAATATTTATACAAGAAAATCAGTTTTAGAGGAACTCATTTTAAAATCTATTTTACTTTTAACTTCGAAATAATTTTTAAATTTCTTGCTCTTTCAACAATTTGAAATTTAAAACTTTGCCAGAGCCTTCCAGTTTGGGAACAGATATGGATATGCCAATGGACATTGACAGTAGTGACATGAACAGTGATAGTGGTCGGGGTTTGGATGACCCAGAAGAACCATCTCCACCAGAAGACAAAATGTTCTTCTTAGATCCCTCTGATCTTGATGTAGAAAGAGATGAAGAAGCTGTCAGAACTATCAGGTAGTAAATGAATATGCCTGGGAAACGATAGATAGATCTAACCCATTATATAGGACAAAACAGATAGGGAACTCCATTTCAGAGAACCCAAAGGTGTCTCCTTTTACCCTTATAGAACTTTTAGGTGTTGGAGCTGCAAGGACTAACGTGAAGACTCTTTAATGATTAACTATCTGAGGATGTTGCAGCAGGCAATTCTTTATAGTTGTGGCAGAATTTTTGATGACTGACATAGTTTAGCCTTTCTATGCAGATAGAAAAGTAGGTGAATTTTTTATATCTTTTTAAAGAGAAAACTGCTTTTTAAACAATCAAGACAGCATAGGGCCATGGCAGAGCCCCACTGCAAGGCTTATCTTTTGTGCCAATACTGCCTTATCTTTTGTACAAATGATAATCCCATGCAGGAAGAATTTTGATGGCAGAAGCCACCATAGAGAATGTATTTGGGAACTTTCATCAAAAAGTAATGATGCAAATTTTGGAGCAACTTCATAAAGCTGAAATTCTTGACATTTTGTGAAAACACTGCTCATGTAAAAATCGAAGTAGCATCATTTATTTAGCAAAACACTATTCTATGTAGGCTTTTGGGGAAAGGCAAAATTGATGTAAAGCATAGTCCTTGCTCTTAAGAATAAAGAATATGATATCAAACAGAGGTCTAATAAACAGTATTCCAAAAGGGAGTGTATTAGTGAGTTATTTTAAAAAAAAGAGTTATGTGAGGTCTGAAGTCATTACTAAGCAAGACGAATCAAGTCAGGCTCCCTTAGAAAGTAGGAGTTGGGTTTATAGGATGAACAGAACTTGAAAAAATGAAGGGAGATAGGGAAAGCATTCTAGTTACAGGAGATAGCCTGAACAAGGATGTGAAGGCATGAGAGTGTAATGTATGTTTGGAGTGGGAGAAAGTTATTTATTTTCTTATTTTTAAGTCTATTTGGCTTTTTTAATTATTTGGAAAACATCACGTTAGCAGAATTCTGATCAGTTATGGTATATGTGATTTCTTAAATATTTCTTTAAATATTTCTAATAAACTTTAAACTTTTTTCTCAGTCCATCAACGAGCAATAATATTCCACTAATGAGAGTTGTACAGTCCATCAAGCACACAAAGAGGAAAAGTAGTACAATGGTGAAAGAAGGTTGGATGGTGCACTATACCAGCAGAGACAATTTGGTTGGTAATTTTATAATTTTAAATGTGTTCATGTTTGTTAAAAAATGTCGTTACCTGTATACTCTTTCAAAAGTGCACTAGGATGTTTGATTATTTTTACATATTGAAAGGAATTTTAAAAGGTAAAACCTGTAATGGTGTATATTCATAACTAAGGAGGGAGGTAGAGAATTCCGAAAGAGTCAGGAGGACTGCCATGAAAATGAATGAAAGAAATTGGAGTCTGTAAATAAAGGTGAAAGGAGCTATAATTAAGTCTAGAAAGGCACCACAAGTTATGGGCTAAGGTGAGAAGATTAGAAGGCATTTAAAAATGTATTTTATTTAACAGGCTTTTGTAAAGAGAATAGTTACAGGCATTTTTTTTTTAATCAGAGAAGGATAGTGCTTTAATTGCAAGTGGATAATTTTAGATTACCCCTAAAAATTTTATAGGCAGGAGTTTTGAAACACTTTGAATGGGTTTTAAAAGGCTCTGTGAAGAAAGTCTGAAAGAAAAAGTTGAGATTCTTGGATGGTTTGGGTAGTTTCTTTTTCCATTTTTTTAATTTAGTATTTTATTTTTTCCCCTGTTACATGTACAAACAATTTTAACATTCTTTTACCTTGAGTTCCAAATTTTCTCCCTCCCCCCTGCCCCACTGAGAAGGCATGCAAGTCTATATAGGTTATACATGTGTAGTCACGTAAAACACTTCTGTAATAGTCATATTGTGAGAGACTAATTGTATTTCCCTCCATCCTATTGGGTAAAGTTTTTTTATGTAGATAATGAAGATATGTCCCTCCCCTCCCCAAACAAACTTGTTATCCAAGAGAAAGCTTGGCTGCTTATGAGAATGAGCATGCTAAATCTGGTATGTTAGAGTGGTTATATATTACGAGTGTATGAGTGCAGATATGCGAGTAGTTAAAAGTAAGTATTCAAAACTCAGAGCATTCTACTGTGTTTTTTGTTTTTTTTTTTTGTTTTTTTTTGTTTTTTTAGAGAAAGAGACATTACTGGAGGCTTGATAGCAAATTCCTTACATTATTTCAAAATGAATCTGGATCAAAGTATTATAAGGTAAGGACTCAATGATTTTTCAGAATGTTTAGTCTTTCAAAAATATATGAAAATATATAGAAAGTGTATGAATTAATTAATCACAATAAATGATATTTATTACTTTTCATCCATGTGACCTTATTTTTTCTTATGCTTATTCTTTCCATAAAACACTCATAGTAGGATAGGTGAAAATTATTTTAGCATATCCATTTTGCAGATGATGAAATAGCTGAGAGGCATTGTAAATAGAGTGCTGAACTTGAACTCAAGAGTGGGGGAAGGGAAAGGGAATAATTATTTATTAAGCACCTCCTCTGTGCCAGGCACTGTGCTAAGCACTTTACAGATATTATCTCAAGTCAAGAGGACCTGAGTTGGAATTCTGCCTTGGACACTAGTTCTTGGCTTTAGTGTCCTCATTTATAAAATGAGGCTAAAAATAGCACCTACATCCTAAAGTTGTTGTGAAGACCAAGTGAGATAATACATTGAAAGCACTTTGCAAACTTTAAGGTGCTTTATAAATCTTAGTTATTACTACCAACACTTCTACTACTATTACTATTACTACCACTAAAATGATTCAGTATTGAACTTTCAACAATAATGTCTCCAGGAATAAAATTTGGAACCTCTGATCAGTGTGGTATGTTTTAATTCGTAATTTATACTTAGCTAGATCTGTGATCTCTCTGTGTCTACTTCTATAGTCTTGTCCACCTGGTACAGATTGTGAAACTTCTTCTTGTCCCATGTCCTTCCATAAATCCTCCATAGATAATAAATCCAATAGACTGCTTCATTTTTTTAAATATATCTCAAGGTTATAGGCCTCGGGCTGTCCAGTCCTGTTATGTGACTGAGCCATCTCTTTTTTCAGGCATAAATGTACTAGGTGATGCCTTTTATACCAATTTTTGCCCGCAGAATGTTGTTGTAATATGTTCCGTCCTGCTTACATCCACCATATGTTATCCCATTGTCTTGTAGTTTTGCTTGCTTCTGGTTTCAGCTTTCACACATAAGACTTCAATATTTCATTGTGGCATGGAATTCATTGGGTTATCAAAGGTTTTGCCAGCAGAGTGCAGGCTCTGACTGGTTCTGCCATGGTGGAAAAACCATGAATATAGTTCTGGCAACATGACTTGCCTCGCCAAATTCTCAGAGGCTTATCACTGTTACATTGGCCACTTTTTACTTAATGATTTGGCCTGGCAGTACATAAAACAAAATGTGATAAACAGTGGCCCCAAGTCCTGTCAGCTTCCTTCTTTGCTTCAGTGATAAAGGAGGGAGGGGCATGTGGACGTGAGAATCATAGGACTTTAGCTGTTGGTATGCTAAATGAGAGACCTTTGTGTAGTAGAAGACATTTCTGCCAGAGGTCCTCGAGGAACTGAATCCCCTCAGTCTTAATATTCTTATTGTAAATGAAATGAAAAACATGATGAAGTCTCAACTAAGAGGAAGGATAGCTGACAAGGTTGCATTAGACAGTCTATTGGAGGGTGATGAGAACACTTCAGGGGATATAGGGCCATATGTTTGTTGTTCTGCTTAGGGTAATGTACAGAGGACCACCGTGAAGATGATTGCAGCTTATGTACCAGCATCTGTTAGAGAGGAGGAGGGGGGAGAGAAATTCTCGTGTGTGTGTGTGTGTGTGTGTGTGTGTGTGTGTGTGTGTGTGTGTG